TATAATGGATTAATGTTAATTTATATTAATTTATTACTATGTTAATTTACTATAATACCCTTATCCAACTTTTTGAAATATATGTTGATACATTAGTTGCTAGTGCTACTTTATAAATGAACATAACTTTATTTTTCTGTCTTTTTTTCTCTCTCTCTATGTCTCTCTCACTCTCTCTCTCTCTCTCTCTTATATATATATATATATATATATATATATATATATATATATGTGTGTGTGTGTGTGTGTGTGTATGTGTGTGTGTTTGTGTGTGTGTTATAGTTAAATTTAAACAAAACTAATTTTATAGTTGGGAATTAAAAATTATTATGAACATCTTTCAAGAAAAATATAATACAATTTAATATTTTATAGGTAAAAAGGTTTGGAGAAGTATATATTAAGATTTTTTATGATTGCTTATTTAAAACAACTTATTGTTATTTGTAAAAGTGTTTATTAGCTTATTCAGTGTATAAACAAAGTTTCAGAAAAAAATGTTTGAATTACTTATCTGGTATCAAAACGAAATAAGTTGATAAATTATTTTTAGTTTTTGACAAACTCTTATGTTATGTGTAATAATAAAACAACTTATCAAAAAATTCTTAAATAAATTAATAAATAAAAAATGACATATCAAAAACTTCTTATTTAAATCAATAAATATTCATGAAATCTTTTTATCCAACTATAAAAACTCTTTATTATCAATATCAAACTGAAATTAATCAATAAACATTTAAATTAAGCAATCCCAAACACCCTACTTTGTAAAAAAATGGTATTTATAAATACAATTTAGTAAATTGATTAGTAATTAAAAGATGTGTTAAAATAAATATAAATAAAAACTAAATAAATAATAAATGGTTATTCTGTTTTTTTAAACTATCATATTTTTATTATAAACAAAAACAATCCAAAATAATAATTCGATTTTACTGAAAATCAAATTAGATAATCAAGATAATCCAAATATTAACATTCCTATAAATAGGCCTCACAGTTTTCGACAGGACCTACGACACGACACGAAATAAAAGGGTTTGGGTTGAGTTTTTCAACCTGTCAACATGTTTATTAAACTGATCATATATGAGTTTCTCAAAAAATATACGGGTTGACCCGCCAACCCGTTTAGAATTTTAATAATATATATATATATATATATATATATATATATATATATATATATATATATACATACATATATATATATATATATATATATATATATATATATTAAATGTACTAAGACTTAAGTATTATACAGTTTATACGTCTAGGATAGGATTCCATTGACCATTTGACATGTACAACACATTTGTCGTTTGGCGTTTGCCTTAAATAATCTCAGTAGTCACAAAGACATAAACAAAACCGAATAAGCAGCTCTCTCCCACTCTCCCCTCTGTGATGAACAGCAGAAACGACATCGTGAATCAAACTACACAGATGCCTGAAGCCTGAACATGAGTCTCGCCTGAAGCCTTAATCTCATGAAGAACCTACAATTGAGTATTGACTTCCATTTACTGGTTGGCGCCTGAGTAGAATTATATATAGTTGGAACATCTGACCCATGAACCCTCCAACCTGTGAAGTGTGAACCCGTATAAATAAATGGGTTGACGGGTCATATATAGATTTATGTTCCAAACCCGCCAACCCATAACCTGTATAATTAAAGGGGTCATGTTCGGGTTGGTGTATTTTTGACCCACTAACCTGTCAACCCGAACACGATACGATTGTTATGTGTTTTGCTGTCAAACCAACAACATATGGGATAAAATAATATTAATAAAGCTGAAATCACTGCTATTTCTAATACTAAAGATAGTATAGAGTAAGCAGGGTCGGTCCATAGGAATACATGATTTCTTATCTTGCCATATTTTCACGTATAATACAAATAATATTAAAATGGGGGATTGTGTTTGAACTTGAATTAAACTTCATAAATAAGAAAGATTGATAACAAACGCAGTAAAAGAAGTACATTTCAGATTCAGACTCGTATACATGTATTATGTTGAAAGATGTAATATGATTATAACTCATGTTCAATCTAGGTTGGTAAGTTGGATATTAATAAACTCTAATTGGCAAAAGTATTTTATTCAAAACAAGCTCTTCAAATAAAACTTCATTTAATTGATTCAATTCAAATAAGCTCTTGCATCAAATCATTAAATGACATTAAGTTCTTGCACTAATTACCAACAATGTTTAACATTCCTCTTAAGCTTGGGAATATAAACATTTAATCTTTGATTCCACTAATTTTGATTTAATTACAACCAAGTAAGTGTATGTTACTAACATCAAATCATAAAACATATACGAATTTCATGATTTGATTAACTAGATTGACTAGAACCCTAGTTCATTGATCAAGTGAAAAAGAGAACCAACCAAACACATGATTAAGATCAAATCAAAGATTACTAGATGTTAAACACAAGTCAAATTCAAGTTACAACCTAACAACACATACTTAAGAATTCAGATTCGGAAATGATAATAAAATCAACCACACATGTCTAGGTTGAACTACAAATCAAACAAGTTTAAACTTCAAATCGACTTACAAAAAGGAAATTAAAGTGTTTCCAAGTGTTAATCTACCTGCAAAAGCTCTGAAAATCGCCTTCTTTCTTCCCAAAATCCGACCTCATTGCCCACAAAACCGATTGACTGAATTATAAGAGGGTAAAACCACTTTAAAACTGTTGAGATGTTTACACGGCCCGTGTAAATTAAAGGGTGCCATTTACACGGCCGTGTAAATCAGAAAAGTAGAATGTTTAATTCTTCCAGGTCTTCGAAGTAGAATGCCCTTGCATATACGTTTACACGGCCCATGTAAATTGTAGGTATACGTTTACACGGCCGTGTAAATTCCTATGAAGCCAAATTCTTCATTCGCTCTCTTCTAAGCTCCAAAACTTCTGCAACTTTGTATCCAAATCTTTTTAACTTCCTCCAACAATATCCAACCTTCAAAAAGTCCCTGGAATATCATAAAAGTGTGTAAATGGAATTGCATCATGAAAAATCCCAAAAAATATGCAAAATGCATGAGTTTAAACCTAAATGCAATGCACTTTTATGAACTAAAACTACAAAATGAATGCATGAAATGCACCTAACAAACTCCCCAAGCTTGAACCTTTCTTATCCTGAAGAAAGAACAAGAAGATTTAAACTGGAGAAAATAAAATAGAATAGAAGAAAAGAAAACTAAAGTTAAAACTATTTGAAACTTAATGCATGAAATCAAAACAAACATGAAAAGATCCAACCCAATTACCCTGTTTTGTACCATAGTTGAGAATGTACCTGTCAAGCCTTGAGTCAACTTGGTTTTAGTTTCAAAATATTATATGATAATAGAAACAAAACTTTGGCCACTCCCTAGTACAACTCAACAGAATCAAAGATCACAACACTTATTCCTTTTCAATATCATCAAGTCAATTCTTGGAACAAATTATGGTCTTACTCTCGTGAAATTATATGCGACAAAACATGCTCAACCATCTTTGTTTCATAAAATATAAGAATGTCCGATTCCAGCTATTTGTTAGTTAACAACAATCTTTTTCTGAAAAATCTTTTCTAAAAATTCCCTAATATTTATCCAGATTTGTTACAATCTTCAAACCACTTACACCAGTCGAAATAATTAACATTCAGTCAAATGTCATAAATTCAAATCCAAGTCCAAGGGAATCTTTTGATAGCCAAGTATTTTTTCCTAAACACAATATCTAATTAAACTATAAACACAACTATATACAAACTTCCTAATTGCATTTTTTTTACAAATAAAGCTCATGGCTTTCTTTGAAATCCGTGTAACGGGCTTCCAACTAACACATCCAGATCAAATGACCTTAGTGTGATAGATTTAAAAGGATCCCTTGGGTTTACTTGCCCGAACCTTAAAGGCCAAAGTTAGCTTTATTTGCTATTATTAAGTTCATGACTTTCTATGGAACCCGTGTAACAAATTTTCAACTCAATCAGTCCCAAACAATTTAGCTTTAGGCGATTAGGTGTAAAACACCCCTTAGAGTTTACTTGTTCGAATGCCAAAGGTCACAGATTAACTTAATAATAGTTTTTTTTATGTAGCACAAATACAAATAACTAAGATAACACATAACACTCTTATTAATTTATTTATTTGGCCAATTTCTTTATATTTCCGTCCTTGACTTTTCTATTGTGGGACATCTCACGGTCTATTACCGTGAGGGACTTCTAGACATTTTCATGGGACTAAATGTTCACATGCAAAAACCCGTAAGTATAGTTGAAAGCTATGTCCTCAAGCAGGGTATATAAAAGGGAATGAGTAGAAAGGACTTTTAAGAGCGCTGGAAGGCGGGACATTGAGATTTTGCATTATTTTTATGAACTTTTGAATTTGGCATTTTAAGTTCAATTGAGCATTACTACTCATAAGACCAGTCATATGTCCCAAAGAATCGACTCATACCTGCTGTTATGCTCCAATGTTGACAATCTTCTCATTTTCTGGTTTGCACAAGTAGCTTCGGGAGGTGTGTTCGTGTGTGATTAACTTGCTTTTAGATTTTTCAATAAAAAGAGCAAGCCAATTTCAAGGCACATGACTTATTTACCAGCTCAACTGTTTTGAAAAAGATTTGATTGCTTGGGATTGGATCGTTTTTTTTTTTTAATTATGCAATGAATGCAATGCAAAAATTTAGATGCAAAGAAAATAATAAATATTAGAATAGAAAGAAAATCTTTTTGGTTTTTGAAAAATTTTCCATGCAAAAAAAAATGAAAAAGAAAATGAAATGAAAATTAATGCAATATGTACAAAACTACATGCAACCTACATGCAACGGGATTTATGCATGGATGGATGCCCTTCCCCAAGCTTAAAATAAGCATCATCCTCGATGCTTGGAGAGAGGCATAGACGTCCTTGATGCTTGAAGAGAGGCATAGCCATCCTATTGAGGACCGGGCGGTTGATCTGGAGGGAATTGTGAAGGATAATCTGCAGGATAATAGGGAGGCCATTGGGTTTGGGTTGATGATGGTGGCTGCGGCTGTGTGGGGAGCATAAGAACTCTATGGATATCTCTCAGCAGGTGATGAATGTTGCGGTTGTGCTGCTCTTGAGCGGCCCATCGTTGATCCTGTTCAGCCCACCGTAGCTCTTGTTGGGCCCAATGCTCTTCTTGCAAGTTACGGTAGTCCTGAAAATCATAAGTGATTTCAGCGACACCCGTATAAATTTCTCCGACTTCATGTTGTATACTGGTGTAACGATGGTTCAAACGTGCAAATTCGCCCATATAAAGATTATGTTCATAAAAAGGAATAGGGCGAGATGAGCTAGAGGCACCAGCAGTATGAGTAGGAGGAGGAGAAGGTGGATGACTAGGATCTACTGTAACACCTAAGTTGGATTTGAGTTTCCAAGTGGTTGATGGAATGTCATTGGCTAAATTGAGTATCTTCTTGTTTCTGCTGTCTATGTGTAGATACTCTTTCCCATATACTGTCCAATGAATATCCCCAGTAGGAAGGCGATGGAAAAGATGCATTGTTTCCATAACATCAATTGATAGACAAGTACGACCCGTGATTATATTTGTTGGGTTATTGGGTAGATGGAGGCCAAGATGCTTTGCAATAATTGAAACCATGCCTCCACAATGTAGTTATCCACCATTTCTTGTAGCACTTCTAAGCATTTTTTTGAATAACCCAACAACCAAAATGAGGGACTTCTGCAGGCTTGTTAATCATACACCACAAGACTTCTAGCTCTTTCTTATTAGCCTTGCTAATCTCTTCTTGAGGGAATAAGAGAGAAGCAATGATCCTGTGAGCGACTTTCAAGACCGGATGTATAATGCTAGAAGCTTTGGCAGTGCCTGATTGATACTCATACTCACAAGAGATGATTCTCCAAAAACTTGCACAGTCTTGCTCAAAAACAACATTTTTTCTACCCTTTGCTGTGTATATATCCCTTCTTGATTTAGGAGCACCAATCATATCGCAAAGGATATCAGCATGAAATTGATGGGTGTGATTGAGCAAATGGAAAGTTAGGAGATGGGTTTGATAGTCAAAAGTAATGGATGATAAAAGTTCCAATATTGGTGTTTGATAGCTAACTGCATGTAGATTCAAAAGACCCTCCCATCCTATGTTTTTAAAGAGCTTGTGGACACCCTTGTAGATGTGTAAATCTTTGAGGGCTTGGATGTCCACAAATTTTTGAGCACCCATTGTTCTTGTAACAAGATTTTCATACAAGATTTCCTGTCGATTGGTCTCAAAAATAAGACCAAATTCATAAGGGTTGTCCATGGCATGTGGGTCTTGTTCATCATGTGAAGTTCCAACTCTATGTCTTTTACCCCGGGAACCCATAACCCAAATGAATCAACAAAATATTGCACACAACTTATGACAATTGAAGCACAAGAACTAGCAAGATTCACTAAAATCACCCAAAAAAGAATATGGTTCTATCTAAATGCACAAAGTAAGAGTTTGGAACAATTGTACCAATTTGTGCTTGATAATGGTAGTAAGATGATATCTAATGCTTCCCCAAGTTATCCCCAAGCTTATCATACAATAAATTTCAAGCATTAGGTCGAGATTTGTAGTTCAAAAATTCTAGGGTTTTTCTCAAAAACCCCAAAATCGGCCATGAGAGGTTGAAATAGATGTAAAAGATAAAGAAGATGAAGAAAAGAGAAGAATTTCATACCTTGGAGCTTGATTTTTGATGCAAAATTGAGGAAGATTGAATATTTGGAAGAGTTTTTTCGAAGGGGGTAGTAAGGAGGAGAGGAATCGCAGGTTGTGTGAAAAGAATGAGTTAAAAAATCGAGTTTTGACCTTAAAATCGTTAAGCTCTGTTTTTGCGTTTACACGGCCCGTGTAAATTAAAGGGGAGAATTTACACAGCCGTGTAAATGCTCTGAATCACATATGGCGTATTTGTCATTTACACGGACCGTGTAAATGAAAGGCATAAGTTTACACGGCCGTGTAAACCTCTGAGAAGGCCAAATTTTTTTTTTCACTTTTTCAAATTGCAACCCGCTAAACCACTACTGTTCGAAAAATGATTTTTAACCCTCTTTTAGCATGAAGAACAACTTGGAAGTTTGAAAACAAAGAAAATACAATGAAAATATACGAAATGACAAAAATACCCCCGGGTTGCCTCTAGGTTAGCCGCCCCTTTTTAATGTCGTTGGCTCGACTTGGACCCCAACTATTTGTACTTCAATCTGGATATGTGGGCCTCTCCAACATAGCATCACTCCTCACATGCTTCTTGTCATCAATAAAATCTAAAATCTCCAACACTTCAGTATCCATATCAAACTTCTTTGCAAGCTCTTTGGCTTTGTCCCTGTCTAGTTTTCGTGACAAAACTAACTCCACAAATTCATTGTTAGACAAGTTCAAACCCTTTTTTGATGAGGGATGGATCAAATTGACAAAATTAATAGATTGAACATCAAAAGGAGTATTTTTTGCTTCATGCACATTGAAGTTGGTAACTTCACCATTAAATTCCATACTTAAGGTTCCATTATAGACATCGATTTTTGTTTTAGAAGTTTTAAGAAAAGGTCTACCCAAAAGTATGGAACTTGAACTTGGAGAGTCATCATCTCCCATATCTAAGACATAAAAATCAGTCGGGAAGACAAATTCATCGACTTGCACTAACACGTCCTCTAATACTCCCTTTGGGTATACTAATGACCGGTCAGCAAGTTAGGTGATCACATCGGTTTTGCTCAATGTTCCTACACCAATTGATTTGAAAAGAGAACATGGTAGGACATTTACAGATGCACCTAGATCAAGCATAGCTCGGGGAACATAAAGATTCCCCAACTTGCAAGGCACGATAAAAACACCAGGATCCTTGCACTTCGGGGGCATCCTCTTTTGCAAAACCGCGGATACATGCTCTCCAATGGTTACGACTTGATTTCCTTTTAATTTCTTTTTAGATACACAAAGATCCTTAAGGAACCTTGTGTATCTAGGTACCTGCTTGATGACCTCAAGGAGTGGAATGTTGATTTGAACTCTCTTGAACATCTGCATGATCTCATTCTCCTCCCGTTCTTTCTTCGTGCTCTTTAATCTTTCGGGAAATGGAGTAGCTGTGGCTTTAGACTCAGTGATGAAGGGCTTCTTTTCTCTTGTTTTCTCTTCCTCCTTCTCTTCTTTGGTTGCCTCTTCAACCACTATTTCTTCTTCTTTTTGATCAACCGACAATTTTGGACCATCATAACTTTTCCTGTCTCTCAATGTGATGGCACACACATTGTGCCTTGGGTTTGCTTCAGTTTGGGCAGACAACTTTCCTTGAGATTCTAGTTTACTTACGGAAATAGCAAGCTGTGAAACTTGTTTCTCTAAGTTCTTTATGCTTGCATTTGTCTCTTGTTGGAAAGCTTGTGTACTAGTTGCCAAACTTTTCACTATGTCCTCTAAAGACATACTTGATGAACCCGCTTGATGAGGAGGGTGTTGTGGTTGCCTTGGCTGAAAGTTCTGTGGTGGAAAAGGTGGTCTTTGTTGGTATTGATGTGGTTGACTTGGTTGATAGTTCCCTTGTTGATTTCCTCCCCAACCTTGATTGTTGTTCCATATTGATCACCTTGTGGCTGCTCATATCCCCTTTGACTAGACCCAAGAAAACCTCCCATGGCTTTTGCTTCTTCATAATCTTCCTCTTGAAGTTGAGGGCACATGTCGGTTGGATGCCCCACTTGAGTACAAATACCGCATGGACGGGGTGTGGGTTGCACACCTTTGTCTTTGGCTAGCATCATAACCACTTTCGTAAGCTCGGACAATTAAGCTTCAATTTGAGGAGTTTGGACTTCCTTTACACCTCGGGGTGCATCCATGTACCATTCTTCTTCTTGGACTGTATGCTTGGAATCTTCTACCATATTCTTGATTAGAACTCTGATTTCTGTTGGAGTCTTATCAGCTATAGATCCGTCACTTGATGCATTAAGTAATCTCCTATCCTAAGATGGCATTCCTTCACAAAAATACTGCAACAACTGATATTCGGTAATCCCATGTTGTGGACATTTTGAGCACAATTTCTTGAACCGTTTCCAATAAGTATGCAAAGCTTCTCTCTTTTGTTACTTGATACCAATTATCTCTCTGCGTAAAGCTGAAGCTCTCATTTCTGGAAAATATTTATCCAGAAACATCCTTGCAAGTTCATTCCATGTTGTGACTGACCCCGGTGGTAAGTAATATAACCACTCCTTGGCTGAATCTTGTAAAGCAAAGGGGAATGCCCTTAACTTGATTTGATCTTCTGTACCTTCATGTGGCTTCATACCCACACATACAACATGAAATTCCTTAAGGAATTTATATGGGTCTTCATTCTCAAGACCACGGAATGAGGGTAACAAATGGATAAGTCCAGACTTGAGTTCAAAGTTGATTGTTGCAGGGTAATTTATGCACAAAGGTTGTAGGGTGACATCTTGAGTGGTCCATTGTCTAAAGGTTTGTTCAGGTGGTGGATGTGGAGGATTTTGATTTCCTCCATGGTTGTCTGCCATGGTAGGAGTAGGTGAAGATGGTGGGGTTATACTTTTGGATGTTGGAGAGGATGTGGTTGATGGATTTGATGAAAAAGCTTCAGATTGTTGTTTCTTTAAAAGTCTGGCTTGCTTCCTTCTTTGTTTAGCAGATTTCTCTATCTCCAAATCAACTGGTAAAGGTGTACCTGTGCGAAAAGATCTTGGCATAAACAATTAGTACCACCGTATCCCCGGCAACGACACCAATTTGTTTGGCTGTCAAACCAACAAATGACGGGACAAAATAATATTAATAAAGCTGAAATCACTGCTATTTCTAATACTAAAGATAGTATAGAGTAAGCAGGGTTGATCCATAGGAATACAAGACTTCTTATCTTGCCATATTTTCACACATAATACAAATAATATTAAAATGGGGGATTGTGTTTGAACTTGAATTAAATTTCATAAATAAGAAAGATTGATAACAAACGCAGTAAAAGAAGTACATTTCAGATTCAGACTCGTATACATGTATTATGTTGAAAGATGTAATATCATTATAACTCATGTTTAATCTAGGTTGATAAGTTGGATATTAATAAACTCTAATATCCAAATTGGCAAAAGTATTTTATTCAAAACAAGCTCTTCAAATAAAACTTCATTTAATTGATTCAATTCAAATAAGCTCTTGCATCAAATCATTAAATGACATTAAGTTCATGCACTAATTACCAACAATGTTTAACATTCCTCTTAAGCTTGGGAATATAAACATTTAATCTTTGATTACACTAATTTTGATCTAATTACAACCAGGTAAGCGTGTGTTACCAACATCAAATCATAAAACATATACGAATTTCATGATTTGATTAACTAGATTGACTAGAACCCTAGTTCATTGATCAAGTGAAAAAGAGAACCAACCAAACACATGATTAAGATCAAATCAAAGATTACTAGATGTTAAACACAAGTCAAATTCAAGTTACAACCTAACAACACATACTTAAGAATTCAGATTCGGAAATGATAATAAAATCAACCACACATGTCTAGGTTGAACTACAAATCAAACAAGTTTAAAC